TTTAGAATGCTTAATCAAATGGATCAAGTGTCATAAGAAACTTGTTAATAAAATTAATTATAGGTTGTTTTTTATTGGTTAATTTTGTTTTGTTTTTTTTACAATTTTTTGCTGCAGTTTAAGGGATAATCACTGAATTTCACTGAATTTCAAAATCGAAAAATTTTCCATCCTCTCGTCATGCTAGCATTTTCAATTCTTTTTTTTTCAACATCTATTGTATCTGTATGATCTATATTTTCACATACAGGAAGACGAATTTTGGTTTTTCGAAAGCAAGAGCAGGTACTTTTTTCGGCTTTTCACTAATCTCAGCTTAAAAAAGAAATTATATAAGTTAGCTGTGAAAATTTATATATAATCAAGAAATTTATGTAAATAAATTACCGAAACATATGTACGATCTAAAAAATCTTCAGGGTTGTAAGATGGTTTATTAAATTTATCTTGGAAAATCTTTGCTAAAGCAGTAATATTTGAAAGATAATTATTTTGCAAAATCTTTAAATAAACATGTAAAAATTAGTTAATAAAATTCCATAAAATGCATAAAATGAATACTATATAAATATATTTGTACCTTTAACTCCCATAATGAACTAGTAATAGCGTTGCTCTCTTCATTGGATCCGACTCATCAAACATGTATAGATCTTCCCAAATATCATTAATATGCCCTATTATTATTTCAAACAATTTGATAAATCTTCTTTATGAGGAGTTATGATAAGCAATCATATGTCAACATACCTCTGTCTTTAGATTTTGTATGGCCTGAGTATTAAAACCATGTAACTCGGATGGCGTCTAATGAGGTTATAAATTAATGGTATCAATATTACAATACCATGAGGAGGGCTTGTAAGTGAGAGACGGGACATCCTCTTTATAAATGATACGACAAGCTGGACAGGAAGATGACTATAAGATAAATATTCATATTATTTGATCAATCGAAAAAATTTGGATAGATATTTAGCATGCATCAAGTTTCTATCAAATAAATTATATAATTTCTGTAGAAATCGTGATAACCCCTATAAAAGCAAATATAAAATATATGCATTAGTATAAGCAAATTATAAGTTTTTAATTTAAAAAATCTTACAAGTTATGTTCGTTAATAAGGATAAAGAGGCCGTTG